CAAATTCATTTTACTGTTTACACAAGGTAACTCAAAGATGATTGAAATGGTAAAAGGAAATAAAAGTATACTACACAACCTTCTTGACTGTTTCACTTTTTTGTTCGTCATTGTTTACTGTGGCTAAAAACTAATAAAAGAGCAGCTGGGCCAAACCCTTGAAGATGCTCAACATCGGTCAGCAGATCCACTGGTCAATACAAGAAATGCAACAGTGATAATACCTTTGGCATCCAAAAGAATTCCCTCAAAATCACAAGAAATTCTACAAGGAGGTGAAATTCTCAAATAGTGAAAATAACAGAAATGGAGTAGCTTCAATTACCTCTATATAGTTTGCAGGGTGCCATTTGCCAAGAGTCACCAAAGTTTTTTTGTTTATTTTTGGGAAACTTGTAGTTCACATGTGAAAACTCCCATACTCCCACAAGGCTTTTATCTTTTATTATTTTTACATAAATAAGTTTCTGCATTTCCAAGAAATCCTCTTGCTTCAGATCTTCTTCATTGAGCTCTGAACCTCACCAGGAAGTAGCTTGGTCAATCACGAGCTTCTCATTCTGGTCTATGAAGTCTGAACAACTGGACTTGTTTAATCCAACAATGCATGGTTTAAAGTGAGCACTGGGTATTATCTGTTTAACTCTCTTTGCAGAAAGTAGAAATGTGACATGGGTCATGTCTGTTTAACACTCTATGTAGAAATTACAAATATATCAATTATTAATCTATAAAGAAGAGACATCTTTATTTAGGTTTTTTTTCCATGTATTAAGTCAATCTAAATAAAAAAAAGGAGTGGTCTGTGCACTTGTGTGATATTAATCAGTTAAATAAATATTTATTACACTTTGTGAATAGTGTGATAGTGAATCAGTGAATATATAAGCAAAAATATATCATATAGGAGTTTTTCCCAGATGTAACTGCAAGAAAAAAATACCCTTATAGGCAGTGGCGTACTAAGGGGGGGAGGGGCGGCTTCCAGTGTTATGTGTCACCCCCCATCATTACACTGCGCACAGCCGCAGCACCTTTGCGGCCAGGCGGGACTTACTTCTTGTATGAGGAGGAGGAGGGGGAGAAGTGTTGGGGCTGCGGCATCGGGCAACGTGATTACGACGTGCGCAGCGCCGTCAGTCCTCCTTCACGGATCTTCAGCGGAAGAGGCACCCAGGCGGTGAGGCACCCAGTGGTCGGACTCGGAGGCAAGGAAGGCATCATCAAAATGTAAGTAGTTATTTTATGTCTGGGGCTGAATTAATTAAAGGGGGGGGGGATTAATTAAAGAATTTAAATGGGGAGGTTTAATTAAAGGGGGGTGGATTATTTAAAGGGGGGATTAATTAAAGAGGGGGTGGATTAATTAGAGGGGGTAGATTAAATAATTAAAGGGGGAGATTTAAGTAAGGGGGTGGATTAATTAAAGGGAGGTGTGGATTAATTAAGGGGGGTGGATTAATTAAAGAATTAAAGGGGGGATTAAAGGGGGGTGGCAGTTTAATTAAAGGGGGGATTAATTAAGGAGGGGGAGCGGATTAAAGAGGGGTGGAGGTTTAGTTAAATTGGGTGGATTAATTAAAGAGGGGGTGGATTAATTCATGGGAGTGGATTAATTAAAGAGGGGGTGGATTAATTAAAGGGGTGCAGTGCGGGGGAGGTTTAAGGGGGGAAGGTTTAATTAATGGGGTTGCAGTATTTTATTTATTAAGGGAGGATGTGCACTGCATATTTTTGTTTTTTATTAAAAGGGGGTGTGCATGTTTTTTGTTATTAGGGGGGGTTGTGCAAGTTTTTTGTTTTTTTATTAAGGGGGTGTGCAGGGTTTTTTTATTAAGAGGGTTGTGCATTTTTTTTTATTAAAGGGGGGTGCAGGATTTTTTTAATTAAGGGGGTTGTGCAGGTTTTTGTTTTGTATTAAAGGGGGTGTGCAGCTTTTTTTTTTTAATTAAGGGGGGTGTGCAGGGTTTTTATGTGTAGGGATTGTATGAAATTTATGTGATTAGTGTGCAGGGTTTTTATATGAAGGGTGAAGGGCAGGGGTTTTCTAGAAGGGGCGAGACCAGGGGCTTTGTAGAAAGGGGCAGGGGAGGAGTTTTCTAGAAGTTTCTCACTAGCCCCTTTCTGCAAAAGCACTGGTCTTCTCCCTTCTACAAAACTGGCCCCCTTCTAAAAACCTCTGCCCTAGCCGCTACATCTTTTGAACCCAAATCCCTTTCCTATGCTATTTCTAAGGCTCGGCTTAATGATGTGGTCTGGGTGCTAGGTCCCTCTAGTTTCAACCCTGCAGCTGAAAACATATGTTTCACTGAGAGTTAATCCAGCCTCTAGTGGCTGTCTCACTGACAGCCGCTAGAGGCGCTTCTGCAATTCTCACTGTAAAACTCACCGTGAGAAGATGCTGGAAGTCATAGGAAAGCATTGAGTAATGCTTTCCTATGGGCAGTTTGAATGCGCACGCGGCTCTTGCCGCGCATGCACATTCGGATCTGACGTTAAAATCCCTTCAGCCACTTACCTTAATCCAGCGCCGGGCTCCCTCGGCGCTGGTGACCTCTCCTCCCCCTCCGACGTCAGCTCCCAAGTGGAGCCGAATGCACATACGTGGCAAAAACTGCGCGCACATTCAAACAGTCCATAGGAAAGCATTTCTCAATGCTTTCCTATGAACGTTTTGCAAGCTGGATGCGATTTTTGCATCCACCGTCGCAGAAGCGCCTCTAGTGGCTGTCAGGAAGACAGCCACTAGAGGTTGGATTAATCCTGCTATGTAAACATAGCAGTGTCTCTGAAACTGCTATGTTTACATCTGGAAGGTTAAAATCTGGGGGACCTGGCACCCAGACCACTTCATTGAGCTGAAGTGGTCTCGGTGACTATAGTGTCCCTTTAAATACCATTGGTTGTCTACTTTTACAAATGGTATGCCAAGATGGGAAAAATAAGATGGATATTGCACTATCAAACCCTAGAACCAAAATAAATTTAGGATTTTTTTGCAGAAAACACCAATACAAAGCAAAATCGACCAAGCGGGTCTCAGCAATGAAAAATTAAGAAGGCAAGAGAAAAAAAGTCAGCTGAGGCGAAGTCTGGATCAATTTTAAAATATGTTGCATCTTCAACATCTACCGCAGTAGGAGAAAGTGCTGAAGACATTCAGTCTGTTGAATCCAGAGGTGAAATGCCTGAAATATCTTCTCAAGAAGCTTCATATGTGAAAGAGCAAGAATTGGAGAAGATCATTTTATCTTCAAGCGGTGAAAGCGATGTAGACGAAGGAGATGCCAGCAGAAGCCTGCATCAGCAAGACTCTGATGATGATGAAGAAGAAGACGAGGAGACTGTTCGACTTAGTTTATTCTGATGTTGTTGCTTGGCCAGTTCCAGTTCCAGATGTTTTAAGAGTGGACCTTATTAAGAGGGGAAGTGAACCTTTCCAAAATAGAGATGGGCCATTCAGTCCTGTTGAAAGGCAAGGAGAGAAATCAAAAGGGAAGAGTCAACAGCTGACCACTGCATGGTTCTATAAGGCTCTGCCTAATGGCGAAAAAATTCTTAGAACGTGGATGGTGTACTCTCCATCAAAACAAAGTTTGTTTTGTTTTTGATGCAGACTTTTTGTTGTTGATGGCAAAGTAACAGGGACATCCAGTTTTGTTACTCGGTTTCAATTGTGGTGGAAGCTGAACCAAAAGGTGTCTGATCATGAGGCTTCTAAGCAGCATCTTACATGCTTGGAGAAATGGAAGACCTTGAGAGCGGGATTGAAGCTACAAAAATGCCTTGATCATGTCCATCAAACAACAGTGGACAGAGAGAAAAGGAAATGGAGGGATATTTTGCATCACCTTTTGGATGTAACTTTGTTTCTGGCTCACCATAATCTTCCCTTTCGTGGTCATAGAGAGACCATGTCATCTGCAAACAAAGGCAACTTCCTGGAATTGGTAGAATTGCTCTCAAACTATGATCCCATTTTAAAGGAACATTTCATGAGGCTGAAACATGCTGTTGCATCTGGAAAGAGAATGACTTCCTATTTCTCTCCAAAAATTCCGAACAAATTAATTTGTCTTTTGGAAAATCATGTGAAGGACAAAATCGTGGCTGATATCAAGAAAGCAAAGTACTTTGGGATTCTTTTTGACAGCACCCCTGATGTGTCCCACACTGATCAGATGTGTGAAGTGATCAGATATGTTCATATTGAAGGGGTCAATGTTGAAGTAAAGGAATCATTCTTGGGCTTCTTTCCTGTTGCTGAAGACTGCTGATGAGCTCACAGAAAATATCCTGCAACATCTGGAGGAAGATGGACTAGACATAAGCCTTTGTCACGGTCAAGGATATGATAATGCTGCAACCATGGCAGGGATTCATGGTGGTGTTCAGGCAAAAATAAAAGATTAATCCCAAGGCTTTGTTTATGCCATGTGCAAACCATTCCCTCAACCTATGTGAGGTGCACTCATTTGGAAGTGTTGTTTCCTGTGTGACCTTTTTTGAAATATTGGAGAGAGTGTATTCCTTTTTTTCAGTTTCTACACATTGTTGGGAATTGCTGATTGAGAATTTAGGTGTGACAGTGAAAAGACTTTCCCAAACAAGATGGAGCGCTCATTATGATGCTGTGAAGCCAGTGAGGACAAATTTTGAAAAACTGACTTCAGCCCTTGAAAAATTGTGTAATCCCTAAGAAAATGTGGACACAAGAGGATCGGCTCAGATGTTGCTGTCTGTCGTATGTGATTTTTCTTTTTTGTGTTACCTTTCTTTCTGGTGTGAAGTTCTAGAAGAAGTTAATATCACACAGAAATATTTGCAAACAGTCAGACTCACTCTTGAAAAGTGCATTGTGAAACTACAAGGTTTGAAAGCGTTTCTAGCAGATCAGCATAGTGAAATTGTGGAGAAGACCATTGTGTTATGGAACTACTACGTGTAAAGAAATTGACATTTCTATGGAAAGAAGAGGGAGAGTAAAGCTCCATAAAACAATGCCAGAAGAGAAGGCAAAAGACGCTGGTCTCACATTGCCAGAGGAAATGAAAAGGGCTATGTTTGAGTGCCTTGATCGTTTTCATCACGAGTTGGAAATTCGTTCCCAGGCAATTGAAAAAATCCTTTCAATGTTTGCTGTAATTCAGCCAAACTCTCTGGTTGTAGCAACAGAGAAAGATATTCGTAATTATACCCCAAAATTGACTGAGATTATTGAAGAATTCTCTAATGAAGACATCTTTAGGGAAATTGAATGTCTTCGGAGGCATTTGGACGGCATTGCAGTTCCTGGAGTTCATTGTTAAATGGGATGATTGTGAATCTCTGCCAAATTTGTCACTGTGTTTAAGATTCTTTTTGACTCTGTGTGTGTCTATTGCTTCATGTGAAAGAAGTTTTTTCCAAATTAAAATTGATAAAAAAATTCCTTTCGCTCAACCATGAGTGAGACAAGGTTGACAAATCTGGCTATACTTTCAAACTGAGCATGAATATACAAGGAAGATTGGCTTTGATGATGTAATCGATAAATTTGCAGAAATGAAGGCTCAAAGGCAACGGATGTGAATCATTGCAAATGACCTCTGTCGAATAGACCGAGTGGTCACTTTGGATCTGTGTGTTTTTTTGTTTATAGAAAGCGTATTAGCTGTTAAGTAAATGTTAATTATTTAAATTTAATTTATTTGTAAGTTAATTTATTTTTCATCGTTCCATTTTTTTCAAGTTGATATACAATTTACAAATTTGTGCAATAAATATTATTCAAAACATTGAAAAAAATTGTGGGTGTTTTCTTACATTTTTATTATGGGGGTAGGGGGGTGCCACACTCAGGGTCTGCCCCGGGTGCCAAATGCTCTAGGTACGCCCCTGCTTATAGGGCAATATAATCTGCACAGAAAAACATATTCAATAATTAGAGAAGTCGGTCACCTCCCACTCACATTTTCATGACACTGTACATGACTGGCTCAAGTTTATGAGCGTAGAGTGGTAAACATGTTCCTGAAATAGAGCTTCTGATGTTGAGTCCATTCAGAACAGAATCGAAATAACAAGCACCAAATTAGAATAAAATATCCCAAATTATTCAAACAAAAAACATGTCAGTAAGTAAGGTGCTGACTATTGGATTTGAACACAACGTGTCAGTAAGTAAAATGTTGCATACAAGTCCTTCAAATTCAATATTAGCACAACGTGTTTTGGCAGGATGCCCTTCTGAGGTGCATAGTCACAAACTGCTTTGTCTCCGTTTTAAAAGCATAGAATAGACGTGTCGCATTATTTCCAGCTCTCTTGTGAGTGCCTCCCAGAGTCCTCTGTGGTAATGCATATTTGTTCACCACTTCTGGGAGCCATATTAGTCCTCCCAGAACATCTTACTAAATGTTACGAGTGTTCCAGATCCACTGGAAACAATCTTTTGTAAATTTTCATCTCTGTTTTTTCAATCCATTTTAAATCTTCATCTCGCCTTCAACAAACCAGTTCTGCAGGATATGTCTCCCAGCATCGGAAGCCATCAGGCAGGCTTCCGATGCTTTGCCTGTGCTGAGTGCCTCGAGGGACTCAGTGAAGAATTAAATAATATAAAATAAATAATAAAAAATAAATATTAACCCCTTCCCACCCTCTCTCTCTCCCCATTCCCATTAACGTACCCGATCGCCGCCGTCCCCATGCCGGTGATCAGTCTTCTTTTTCACTGGGGGGGGGGGAGGGGGAAACGACTGTCTGACAGCCCAGACAGTCCCTCCTTGGCAAAATAGGACCCCAAGGGCCATGTGATCGCTCTGAAAGAGCGATCACATGGCTGCAATAGGCATTCATAGTGTTGCCTGCACGGGGACTGCCTGAACTGACAGGCAGTCCCCCTGTTGGTGAAAAAAAAGTTAAAAAAAAAAAAGTTTTAAAATAAAAGAAATAAAGTTTAAAAAAAATATATATTATATATATATATATATATATATATATACACACATACATACATACATACATACACACACACACACACACAAACATAATATGAATATATATCATATATAAAACATCATACTAAGTATATTTTTTATTAATATATGCATATATAAATATAAAAATACACTTGGAGTAAAATTAGACATGTGTATATTTATATATATTATGAAAAATAATAATTAAAAATAATAAAAAATGTAAAAATAATAAAAATATATATTTTTATTCTAACTGTATTTTGATATTAAAATATATATAAAATACGAAATATACATATTACATTAATAATTTCATAAATATACATGTAGACTTTAAATATATATACATATATATTTAAAAATGTGCATATTTATGTAATATTTTTACATAATTAAGTAATTTTATTGATTGCAATTTGGGTGACCCGCCTGACAACCCAGGCCGAAAGTCCAGAGAATTTAATTTGCTAGCACTATATTTAACCCTGTAACTTTCCAAGACACCCTAAAATCTGTACATGGGGGTGTACTGTTTTACTTGGTAGACTTCACTGAATACAAATATTAGTATTTAAAAACAGTAAAACATATCACAATGATGATATTGTCAGTAAAAGTGATTTAAAAAAAAAAATTCACACAGAAAATGCACCTTCACTGATGATATAATTGTTGTGATATGCTTTACTGTTTTGAAACACTAATATTTGTATTCAGCGAAGTCTCCTGAGTATAACAGTACCCCCCATGTACAGGTTTTATAGTGTTTTTGAAAGTTACAGGGTCAAATATAAGGCTTATTTTTCAGTTTTTTTCAATTTGCCAGATTGGTTATGTTGCCTTTGAGAGTGTATGGTATTCCTGAAATGAGAACCCCAGAAACCTCCATGATGGCATACCATTTGCAAAAGAAGACAACCCAAGGTATTGCAAATGGGGTATGTTCAGTCTTTTTTAGTAGCCACTTAGTCACAAACACTGGCCAATGTTAGCGTTCATAATTGTTTTTTTTGCATTTTTAACACACAAACAAATATAAATGCTAACTTTGGCCAGTGTTTGTGACTACATGGCTTCTAACAATTACTGGACATACCCCATATGGAATACCCTGGGTTGTCTACTTTAAAAAAAAAATATATGGTTTGATGGGGTAAATTACATTGTCCAGCTTCAAAATGTCCCAAATAGGACATGTGTGCATGATGACCAGCTGTGAAAATTCCATGTTGGAAAACTGGAACGCGTTCCCTCTAAATAAGGTCTTTCAGCTCCCAGAGAACCTGACACCTACATGGGTGGTATCATTGTACTCAGGAGAACACATATTGGGGTCTTATTTAGCAGTAACTCTTAAAGTTCTCAGTACATGTATTCTTAAGTTGCCATGTGTGTCAAAAAAAAATAAATTTTTAAATATTGTTTTTTTAAAATTTGGCATAGATTGGTGGTAAAATAGTTGCATGAAAAGAGTCCAAAATACCCAAAGTTAACACATTAGGTTCTTCTTTTAAAAATATATACATGTGAAGGGTTATTTAGGGATTCCTGACATATCAGTGTTACAATGTAGCTTGAGTTAATTTTGAAAAATAAAAAAGTGATACTTGTACTTATTGCCCTATAACTTGACAAAAAAAAAAAAGAAGCTAAGAACATGTTAACATTGGGTATTTCTAAACTCAGGACAAAATTTAGAAACTATTTAGTATGGGTGTTTTTTGGCGGTTGTAGATGCGTAACAGATATTAGGGGTCAAAGTTAGAAAAGTGTGGTTTTTTTTACATTGTTTCATCATATTTTATAATTTTTTATAGTAAATTATAGAATATGATGAAAATAATAGTATCTTTAGAAAGACCATTTAATGGCGAAAAAATGGTATATAATATGTGTGGGTATAGAAAATGAGTAAGAGGCAAATTACAGCTAAACACAAACACCCCAGAAATGTAAAAACAGCCTGGTCCCAAACAGTAAGAAAATTGAAAAGCGGTCTGGTCACTAAGGGGTTAAACATGGAATGGGCAGAGCATGGAATAAAAAAAAAAAAACAGAGAGATTTAAAAGATACATTCAGAAATGGTAAAAATACACAATTATATAAGAATCAAATCCAATAACAAATATATATTTGATCAATACAAACACACATAAAAACTATAAGAGGCTAAAACGAGGATATTAAATGTAATTGTAGATCTCAAAATCTATATTCAACCCCACCAGGGTAAAAGTCTCCAATTCAAAGATCAACTTAATTTCAGTTTTATTATTATATGGTCTCAGCATCTCCATGATTTCTTTACTTTCTGAATTCCTTTAAAATGCAGGCACTTTAGATTGACTAAGTTATTTAGAACTTTGTTCTTGATATTCCTACTTTGCTTGCTTATTCTAACTTTTGGTAGCCTAGTGGTCCACCCTATATATTGTAGGCACGATCATACATTAGAAGATAAATCTAATTATTGGTATGACGGAATAAATATTTGATTCGTAATCTAAGAAACAAAATTATTAGTTTTTGTTTTTAACCTTCATTTCCCTACGTGCCTGACAAATGCCACAATTAAAAGAAAATATTTTAACTTGATTCCAAATACATCCTTGTTTTCTACCTCTTTTAAAACATAACCTTTAGTTAAAATTTGTTTAAAATTATTCACTACTCCTTACAAAATTTAAGGTTTCGTACCTATATATTGATTTAGAATTTTTTTTTTTTTTTTTTTTAAATGTGCCAATGTTTTTTTAAATTCTTGCTAAAAAGTATACTTTGAGAATTGTAATGACAAACATTACGATTTTTCTGTTTTTCCTTTGTATGTCAATAATTATTTTCTAGACTTACTTTGCACTTCTTTAAATAGTTTTTCCAAATTCTTTATCTACTTTCTCATACAGTTGTTTTTTTTAAATAGATGATTGTTCTAAAAACGGAATGTCATCTGTGCAGTTATGCATTAATCTAATAAACTGGTCCTTTGGTAGATTTGTCAGTCATAGAGTGAAATGACAGCTATTCGTATCGATATCTACTTTTTTTTTTTTTAAAGGACCACTATACGCACCCAGCTTAATGAAGTGGTCTGGGTGCCAGGTCCTCCTAGTTTTAACCCTGCAGCTGTAAACATAGCAGTTTCAGAGATCTGCTATGTTTACTTTGCAGGGTTAATCCAGCATCTAGTGGCGGTCTCCCTGACAGCCACTAGAGGCGCTTCCGCGATCCTCAATGCGAAAAATACATTGAGCACATTGAACGTCCAGAGGAAAGCATTGAGAAATGCTTTCCTATTGGTGGTTTGAATGCGCGCCTGGCTCTGGCCGTGCATGCGCATTCG